AAGATGCATGGACGGGGCTGCCCTCGTTATGCGACCCTGCTCCGCGGGAGGGGTGCCCCGTGGGCTGGGCCTGCTGGACCCCATCCCCAGCTGCCTCCACGCCCGGCCCCCCCCCGTACCCCCACTCCTCCCTCCCTCTGGGAGGCCGGCCTCGGGAGTTTCGGTGGCTGAGAATTTATTGAGAGAAACTGCTCTCGGTCGCCTAAACCACTAATTTAAAAAGGCTGGTTGTGCAAGGAGATGCGTCTCTCCCTGGCATCACCATCTGTGGCTTTTATTTGCACCGTGGCCTCTTTCAAGTTCACTCGAATAGCTGGGGGTGGAGGTGCTAGGGATAGAGGCCTGCAACCTGGAGAACGGTGGCGGTGGGGGGGGGGGGGGGGGGGGGGGGGGGGGGTGTGTGCTGCTGACAGCCCTCACCCCCACCTTGAGCTAAGAAGACTTTTAAAATTATATCAGGAGCAAATAGGTTAGCCAAACACACAGCTAGGGTTTGGAAAGCATCTGCTATTCCTTCCACCCTCTTACATTTTGTGATCCCTGGGAAGGTCTCAGAAATGTTCAAGATCAAGAGTCCCTCCCCTACAAGCCGCCCACCCCTGAAAAAAAACAAAAAGAAAAAAAACAAAGATGAATAAAGACCTGGGTGTGGTCTCCTAGGGCATGCAACCAGACATTACTTTGTTTAACACAAAACTTCTGTGCCTGTGCCGTTAGAACAGGGGTGGGGAACCTTTTTCCTGTTGAGGGCCACTGGATGTTTAGAACATCATTTAAGGCAGTGGTTCTCAACCTGTGGGTCGCGACCCCTTTGGCAGTCGAACGACCCATTCACAGGGGTCGCCTAAGACCATCCTGCATATCAGATATTTACATTACGATTCATAACAGTAGCAACATTACAGTTATGAAGTAGCAACAAAAATAATTTTATGGTTGGGTCACAACATGAGGAACTGTGTTTAAAGGGCCGGAAGGGTGAGAACCACTGATGGGGCCATACACATTTATCAGCTTAAAAATTAGCCTGCTCTGTGTGGCCAAACATTTAATTAACTCACCCCTGATGGCTAGGCAGGGCCGGACCAAATGATTTCCGGGACCTTAATATGGTCCCCCGGCTGAGTGTCCCCCCGCCCCCCTCCAGCTGCCTCAGAAGTTCTGGTAATGGCATCGGGAGATAGAAGGCATTCTCAATAAGAATTCCCCGTGAGACGTGTCCCTGAAGACGGGTGGTGGGTGAGGGCGAGAACCTGTGCATGAACGAGATGAAGGCCCGGGAGGTCAGCGATGGCTGGAGGATCCAGGCTCCCGGCCTGTGGCCCTTCTCGGAAGTTTGAAGCAGGGCGTTTTGGGACAAGTAGAGCGAACTACTTCTCTCGGTGTAGTGTGAACACCTGGGCTTCTGGAGGCACACAGACCTCGCTCTGCTGGCAAGTCCCAGCTCCTGTGAGCCTGTTCCCTTATTTCTTAAACCTGAGGCTCACCTGCGTAGGGCCGCCGTGTGTGTCCACAGAGGATGTGGGCAGCGCATGGGACATGGCAGTTAAGTCAGTGTGGGTTCCTGTGATCCTTCTCAAAGGTGGTACAAGTTGAACAGGTGGACTGGTTCCCAAATGGTAGATGATGCTACATTACACTTTCGGGGCGAGGGGGGGGGGCGGTTAGGAACATCTCTAACACTTTGTTTGTTTCCATCTATACTGAGAGGTTTTAGGGGATCCAACTGTCCGGTGGTCCCTTTGTCAGAGGCAGAACCTTGAGGCTGGAGAGACTGTGGGCCTGACTTCATTTGTCGCAGTCCTGTGTCGGAAGGCTTGCTTTTCTGACTTGGGATTTTGTGTTCTGGCAACTTGTGTGTTGCATCAGTGATTTGTTGCAATGCTTCCTATAGGGTAACCTTTCCCCTGGTAACAGGGCCTGGCCTGGAGGTTTTCCTCTCCGTGAAACAATGTTGGGGACTGACCCTTGCAGGGAACAGTTCTCCAGTGTACAGAAGGGCTCTGTTCCCAAATATCATTGCAAGTTGATTATTTGGAACGTGGAGCACATTTTCCCATAGAGACAATGTGGTTAGGTTACTAGCCTGACCTACAAAGCTTTCTATTTGGCATCTTAGAGTAGCAATTCACTAATCGGAGGGGGTCTCAATGTTGGGTCCTGGGAACAGGGCTTGCAGAACAGGTGGGAGAAGGAAGAGAGTTTCTGGTCTCTTTCTTGGGCCCTGGTTTGAATTCGGATTAGGTAGAGGT